ATATATGAAATACAGCTCAGAAATATCTTTGCCAAATTTTATCAAGATCGGTTCAAATTTGGATATAGCTTCCATATATATCAAATGGGCAATACAAGTCCGAATTTTAAAGATACAAATGCTTCGGCATATTTAGTCCTTTGAACTTTAAATTATAATTATTATCATAGCGTGTATGATTGAGTTCTCCCATAAAAACTTTTAATTGTTACGTGGAGCTCTACTGAATTAGCAAAGTGGTGTAGGGTATCATAAAGTCTGCTCCGCCCGATTTTAAGACTTTCTTTACTGGTTTTTACATTGATTAGTACTCTAAATGTCAAACCATGAAAATGTTTCGCTCCAACATATTCATGCCATACATGTATTGCTGTAGCTTACCCAAATTCCAAACCTCAACTTAAATAAATAAATAAATAAAAATAAGCCTAGACAACCTTTGCAACCTAATAAAATGCAATTTCCCTCAAAGGACAATTCCTAAATGTGTATGTGTGTGTTTCAACTAAAAATAAATAACAAACTCAAATCTGTAGACATTTGGATTTTGCCCAAAGCTGTAGTTCTTGTGCATTTCATTTCAAAAAAAAAAATAAGAAAAAAGACATCTAGGCCTCTGAGATTAGCCATATGTTTAAACTAATGCAATTGCTTGGTTAGTGGGTCATGATGAACAACATTTTCTTTTATAGCCACAAAAAACATGGTATTTCCTTTATTCCGTTGAGTGTGTTTGTGTTTGTGTGTATGTGTGCATGGGTGTCTTTTTATAGTTTTTGTGTCGCATCCATCTTTTGGGTCAACAACATTACAAAGAGTGTTCATTCGACTAAGAACAGAATGCAAACGGTGAATCTAGTTCATACCGAGATATACGACAGCAGCATCACTCACTCAAACAAGCTGCAATGTTCAGCTCGTTTCTTAACAAATAATCCTTAAAAACACTATGAACCTAGGTTAGGTTAGAAGATTTTCTCATTCAAGGACATTGCAAAGGGGAAAATTGAAAAATGGGTGGAATATTTAATTTAAGAATCATGTCAAACATTATTTTTAGATTAGAAGCAAATATTGCGTGTGGCATAGGTATGTCATTGGGTGGTATTACAGATCCATATCATAGTGAGTTTTTCATACTAACATCTTTAGAGAAAATATAAGAAAAGCGTAAACTGCCAATATTATGGAGAGGAAGACAGGGTGTTGCTCTACACTATGTACTACGACTTGACTCAGATTTTTGACAAGATACCGACATTGAAACAAAAAAAGTCGATTTAGTAAAGAACCTCCAAACAGGATGCGTAGTAATTCAAGACAAAAGGTCGAAATTTAGAAAAACAATTACTTTTTGCACAGAAAGAGAAAGGATAATTCGTTTTTGCTCCAATTTAGCAAATCCTAATATTTGCACCGGTGATAGATCAGGTGTGAAAATGGACCATATCGGTCCACTCCATCAAGTACTTCCCCCACAAAGGGTCAACATTTTGAATAATTACAACTCTTATAAAATGTGATGTAACAGTCCGATTGTCTTCAAATTTTACACATCCCAATAATTATATTAACCCAAAGTCTGGTGTTAAGATGGACAATATCGGTCCACTCCTTCTGGTAACTCCCCCACAAAAGGTCGAAATTTTCAAAAAATATATTTTTTGCACAGAAAAAGAAATGATAATCCGTTCTTGCTCCAATTTAGCAAATCCTAATATTTGCACCGGTGCTAGATCAGGTGTGAAAATGGACAATATCGGTCCCCTCCATCAAGTACCTCCCCCACAGAGGGTCAACATTTTGAATAATTACAACCAAATTACGACGGTGCCCGAATGTTGCTCTACGGTATTTTGGCCCATTCCCGGCGAAGCGCTTGCTTGAGGAGATCGACACTTTGGTATTTTTTAGTGCCAACCTTGATTTCCAAAATACCGCACACACACAATCGTCCAACGGATTGGTATCCGGAGATTTTGGTGGCCATTGTGCGCTGGAAATGAAGCGAGGAACCCCATTTTGTAACCATCCTTGGGTGGCGCTGTGTGCGCTGGCCCTTTTGTCCTGTTGGAATGTCCAAGGTTTGTGGTCAAAATGTTTGCGTGCTCAAGGCTTTAATACACCCTCCAGAATATTTTCGCGCTAATACTCTTTAGCTCTTTGGAGCTTATTTCTTTCTGTTGCGGTGTAAGTTCTTGCACTTTTCGATGGCTTTAACCTGAGCTAATTTTCCAATATTTGCCGAATGGAATATTGCGATATGTTCAGTTCACGAGCCATTTTTCGGCCACTGCGACACGGGTTTCTATCAAGTCGCTTCTTTACATCTCGAACCATTTCTGCTGATGTTGTTGTTTTCTTCCGTTCACTTCCTTGACATCGGGCTACGCTACCAGAATCACGGTAACGAGCAATGGTACGAGACACAAAAGTTTTAATCACATTAAAATGCTGCAGTGCTCTAACGATAGCCACTTGTGGTTTTCCAGCCAAATATAAAGAAATCACACCATATCGCTTGAATTCCACCACGAATAACTTTTTGTCTTGAAAATTCTCACCGAAATGTTTTTGAATGCTTCTGAACAATATAATGAGCTGTCACTGGAATAATTTTAACAGCTGTCCGACGAGTGGCTTAGAAATGACAGCAGTGTGAAGTTGGTTGAAGTTTTTTCATCTCACCCTGTAATATTAGCCGACTTTGAATCAGATATCGATTACAAACAAAATAGTTGAAGCAAATCCTCGACTTTTTTTGAAGGAAGCATTTAATGGTCATTTTACTTCCAGTCATTTTCCCCATAAAATAAATATATGTTTTGTGTAAAATTATCTAACGGTTTTTCTTTTTTTTTGTGTAATAATGAATAATGCTCTGAGAGACAATTATTTTATTTATAAGTCGTTAAAAAGTCTCAAAAAATACTCTATAAAATTTATTAAAAACATATATTTTACAAAAATCAAACCATACTCTCTTCTTACATTTTACGGAGTGTAATATCATGCATTATCCTAAATGCAGATGACAATGAGAGTTTTGATTTTAATTGAAAAACAAGTAAAAAAGTATCGGTCGGCTTTGCCGACAGATGTATACCCTCAGCTCTCTTCACCCTCTATGGAGTGGGTTTTTAAAGAATGGGTCAATATTGTCAATTTCGTATCGGACCTACATAAATATGATATAAATATTATTCTAGCAGATGGATATAGGAATTGTAAAGAATCACTGAGTTGTTTCGCAATTTATGACAGATAAAAATATTGAAAAATGTGTCTCTTTGTGGGTGAGGTGCCAGAAGTTGTTCGCAGATATATAGGATCATCTTCAAAACAGATCTGGTGTTAGCAAAAATAATTTGTATGTGTGAAATTTGAAAAGAGTTTAATCCTTATTTCGCTTTCTTTGAGCCTCATGTTTTTCAAAATTAGATTATTGCTTCCTTTCTGTGCAGAAAATATATATCTCAAATTTTCGACCATTTATGGGGAGGTACCATAAGATGTGGACCGATATACTTCATCTTAACGCCAGAGCTTGGGTTAATATAAATATTGGGATGTGCGCCATTCGAAGACAATCGGACTCATACATCACATTTTATGAGAGTTGTAATTATTCAAAATTTTGACCATTTGTGGGGGAGGTACTTGAAGGAGTGAACCGATATTGTCCATTTTTACACCTAACGTAGAACTGATGCAAATATTAGGATTTGCAAAGTGAGAGCAAAATCGGATTATACTTTCTCTTTTTGTGCAAAAAATATATTTTTTGCAAATTTCGACCTTTTGTGGGGGAGGTACCAGAAGGAGTGGACCGGTATATTCCATCTTAACATCAGATCTTGGGTTAATATAAATATTGGGATGTGTGAAATTTCAAGACAATCAGACTCTTACATCACATTTTATGAGAGTTGTGATTATTTAAAGTTTTGACCCTTTGTGGGGGAGGTACCAGAAGGAGTGGACCGATATTCTCCATTTTCGCACCAGACCTAGCAATGATGCAAATATTAGGATTTGCAAGGTAGCAGAATAATCGAATTATTCTTTCTCTTTCTGTGCAAAAAAAAATATATTTTTTTTTTGTTTGAAAATTTCGACCTTTTGTGGGGGAGGTACCAGAAAGAGTGGACCGATATATTCCATCTTAACACCAGACCTTGGGTTAATATAAATATTGGGATGTGTAAAATTTTAAGACAATCGGACACTTACATCACATTTTATGAGAGTTGTAATTATTCAAAATTTTTACCATATGTGGGGGAGTGGGCCGATATTTTCCATTTTCACACCCGACCTCACACTGACTCAAATATTAAGATTTGCAAAGTTGGAGCAAAATTGGACTATAATTTCTCTTTCTGTGCAAAAATTAAATTTTTTGAAAATTTCGAACTTTTGTGGGGGAGGTACCAGAAGGAGTAGACCGATACCAAGTTTGGACCAAATTGGATACTCCCTTCGAGAGTTATCGTGCGCACCAGCCAGCCAGACAGACAGACAGACAGACGGACGGACGGACGGACGGACGGACATCGCTAGATCGACTCGAAATGTTCTGAAACGGATTTGGTCCAAAGAGACCTAGGGTCTAAAACCGTTATTTCGACTAGGCACGTTTTGGCCGTATCAAATGATATATACCCTCTGTAGCCATATGGCTGAGGGTATAATAAAAAGATTCTTGCGCACATGATAGAAAATTGAAATTTCATAGTTAGGCACTTTGGCAAAAGCAATCGAAGTCAATGATCCGATCAGTGATTTATATTAATTTTTGAAATTCAAAATTTTGAAAATAATCACTTTCTCTCATGTGGCCGAAATAAAAAAGTGTCACCTTAATTTCATAAAATTTTCATAATTTTCATAAATTTTTAATATTTCTTTTTTTAAATTTTGTAATAAATACTTTTTCTGTTAAAATAAATAAAAATTAAAATAATAAAAAACCACAAATATTCAATTATCAATTTTACCATAATTCAATTGGTCCGGTAATGATATTGGTGTGATATGTGCCATGTACGGTTATGTTTGCCGGTAAATAACTGCGGCTATTCGAATTTGGTTTTAGTGAATAAACGACCCTAGAATGCAATCAAGAAAGAGATTGGAATAAAAAAGACACACAGAAAACAAAATAGAAAATTGGCACAAGTACTGCGGGAAAAAACATATGCACAATAAGACCAACGCAATAGCCATATAAACCTGGGTAGGTAGGGTTTGGGGGGTTGCACTAATGCTCACTATATTCATGGCCTAAGGGTTGGGAAATTGGAAATTGCGGGGGCCACAAGAGAACCAAAAATAAAAAACACATACATAAATCACTAAAAAGTTGAAATAAGTCAACAAAAAAGAGGAGAAGAAGAACATGATGATGTTGATGAAAATTAAAAACAAGAAGAACCTACAAAATGGGGGGTTGCTAACTTACTGCATTACATTTTGTTTTCGTTTTGGATCATTAGATACGAAAAAGGAGGGGGGCTTATTACACATTCAGGTAAGGGGTTGCTCTAGGGTTTGTAATTTTGTACGTATAAATTATAATTTTGCTGTGATACCTTATTGCATAATGCATAAATGTATGCATAAATTTGCAACATTAAATTAATATTTATATAAACGGGGAAAATTGTAATCTATGTATGCACCAACAACCAATAGAAGGAAGAGTTCTTTTCTGGTAGGAATTTAAGTAACTTTAAACTTTTATATTTTTATGCTCTCCACAATAGTATGGAGGGGTGGGGTATATTCAGTTTGTCCTTCCGTTCTTAATTCCTCGATATAATCAGTTTAGACACCAGAAACTTTTGAACAACATAAGATTCTATGTCGATTTAGTCCTGCCCGCATGTCTGTCTGTAAGTCTGTGAAAATAACTGTAGCTTCTGAACGAACTAAAGTAGATTAATAAAATTTTGTTGTATTTTAGGTCCCTAGAAAATGTATACCCTCGAGCATATGGCTACGGATATGGCTATGGCTATATATAATTTTATATGGCCAAAACGTACTTTATCAAGAATAACGGCGTTAGACCCCAGGTCTCTTGGGACGAAATCAGTTTAAAGACATTTGATATTGATCTAGCGGTGTCCGTCAATCCATCCTTCTGTCTTACTTGTGCATACGATATCTCTCGAAATGTGTTTATAATTTGCTCCAAACGTGGTACATCGTAATATTTTTATAAAAAATAAATCGAGTTCGGAGGTGGACAATATCGGTATACTATTTCTGGTACCGCCCCCATATAAGATCAAAATCTTCACAAAAAAAAAAAAAAAATAGAACAATAAAGAATCATCCGTTTGTTAAACAAACTTGGCAAATCATAATATTTTTTAATAATGCTGGGTCAGGTTCAACTCCACTCAATTCTGTAACTCCTCCACAAAGGGTCAAATTTTTAAATAACTATGGAGCTCATAAAAGCGATATGAGTATTATATTTCCTTCAAACTCGGCACATTACAATATTTCTATCAACATAAGATCTGCTGTGAAGATGGAGTACATCTGACCACTTCTTCTGGAACATTCCCCACAATAGGTCAAAATTTTGAATAATTGTGTCTCTAATAAAATACGAAAAAGGCATCCGATCTTCTTCAAATTTCACACATTCCAATAGTTTTACTAATGCATAATCTGGTATGGAAAATTGATTCTTTCTTGTTCCTCCCCCACAACGGGTCATCATTTTGAATAAACATGCAGCTCATAAAACGCGAAATGAGCATCCGATTACTTTCAAACTCGACACATCCCAATATTTCTACTAGCACAAGATTAGTTGCGAATATGGAATATATCGGCCCACAGCTCCCGGTGCCTCCATAAAACGCAAAATGAGTATCAGATTTATTCAAACTTTCAGATTAAATTAAAGCAAAATCAAGTGCAAGGATGGGACTTATCGATCTACTACTGCTGGCACCTCCTCCCCCACAAAGGTTTCACAAAAAAAATCAAAGTGCTCGTAAAAATAAACAAATCAAAAAATAAAAATAAACAAATCAAAGTGCTCGTAAAAAGCATCCGATTACTTTCAAAATCGACACATCCCAATATTTCTACCAGCACAATATCTGGTATAAAAATGAAATATATCGGACCACTTCATTTGGTACCTGCCTCCCAACTGCTACAAAACTTGATACATTCTAATATTTCTAGCGACACAAGATCTGGTATGACCAGTAAAGAAAGTCTTATAGTCGGGCCGACCCTACACCCCTTTGCATATTTAGTAGAGCTTTAGTAGATAACAAATAAAAGTTTTTATGGGGAATTTGTGAGAATCAAATCATACGAACTATGAGAGGAATATCCTCCTCTGATTCGATTTCTACTATATTTTCCGAGGCATTTGTGCATTTTCAATTCGGCCTTATATTACCCATTTTCTGCACAATTAACTTGAAATCGGATAAAAATATATATATTAGAGCTATAACCAAATCTGAACCGATTTTGATAAAATTTGGCAAATGTATTTCTGATTTTTATTTGATATATTTTCCCGAATACCTTAGATATGGAGTGCATCGATCAAGGCTTAATTTGATCGTATGTGCAAAATTCCGTAACTATTTGGGCTGATTTTACACGTTTGGTGCACAATAAAAGTCAAATCGGACGAAGATATATATGGGAGATATATCTACATTTTGACCGATTTCCAATTTAATTCGTCCTTGGGTCCAACAAATGAATTGTGCAGATGTTCATCTGGATCCGGCAATAAATGCGTCCTGAACTTTGCTTACAAAAATGCATGAATAAATCGTCTCAGAATGTTATTCTATGCAGATCATCAAAAGGAACTATGGGCCTATCTCGCTTCCTTCTCCATGTTACAAACAAATGCACAAAGACATAATATTTTTACCACTATGTGGTGTAGGGTATAAAAGTGAAATATATCTGACCACTCCTTTTGGTACCTCCTCCACAACGGGTCAAAATTTTGATAAATTGAATCCTTCAAAAATGCGAGAGATAATAAGAGATCAATTGCTAATATGGAATATAACGGTTCACTCCTTCTAGTACCTTTCCCACAACGGGTCAAAATTTAGAATAATTATGACTCTCTTAAAATTCAAAAAAGGCATCCGATTTTCTTCAAATTTCACACATACCACTGCCTTTACCCACGCAATATCTGGTGGAAATATGATAGATATAGGCTCACCCCTTCTGGAACCTCCCCCACAAGGGTTTCCAATTTTCAATACTTACATCTCCCAAACTTGCGAAATAAGTCTCCCATTCTGTTTAAACTTGGTAAAACTAAAAAGTTCTCTTAATCAAAGATCTAATGTAAAAATATATTTTTGTGATACCCCTCCCCCACAAAAGTTTAAAATTCTGATTAACAATCACTGGCATAAAATAGAAAAATGTCGATTTTATTTGCATTTTTTTCACATCCCAATATTTTTATCAATATTTTGGTCCACATTATTCAAAAATTATATCATATAAAGTAAGAAAGTAGTCGATTTCATCCATATCAGGAACATAGTATACAAAAATTCTTAAACATTGCACGATTTTATATACAAAAACATTCTTATCAGAACCCCAAAATATTTTTAAGCAGCCTCTTGATTTTGGAAATAAATTAGTATAAACAAGTAAAAAAGCAGTAAATTCGGACAGACCTTTGAATACCCTCCGCCATTTGGAATAAATTAGGAAATCTTCAAAAAAAAAAAAAAAAATACATTAAAAAGTCCGTTAAAATCTTAGAAATACCGAATATCTGAAAGTGCCGATATATGTGGGGATATACGATATTGTGGAAATCAATGTCCTGGAGTAAAGTCCTCACTAAGAAATCCTTGTGTAGAATTTCAGACAATTGAAAAATGTGGCTAAAAATCATCAAAATATCGAATATTCGGTGGGTACCGTTTTATGGGGTCTATGCGATATCGTGGACCTATATAGATAATTCTCTTCCAGGGAATAAAGATCTCACCATGAACTCCTTGTGTGGATTTTCAGACAATTCCATTGGAAAATGTGGTTAAAATCATCAAAATATCTGAAGGTACCGTTAAATGGGGGATATACGATATTGTGGACCTATATAGACAATTCTCTTTCAGGGGCTAAAGTACTCACAGAGAACTCCTTATGTAGATTTTCAGAAAATTCCATTAATAAATGTGGATAAAATCATCATAATACCGAATATCAAGGGGTACCGTTATGTGGGGGCTGTACGATATCAATATCCCCACAATAATGTGGGGACCTATGTAGATAATTCTCTTCCAGCGGCTAAAGATCTCACAAGGAACTCCTTGTGTTAAATTTCAGACAATTCCATTAAAAAATGTGACTAAAATCATCAAAATACCGAATATCGGAGTACCGTTATATGGGGGGATATACGATATCGTGCACCAATATAGCCCATCTTCGAACTTGACCTGAATGCCGACAAAAGATAGATCTGTTCCTATCTTAATTTGTTCTGACGTGATTACAACAGACGGACGGATGAACAGAGTTAAATCGTCTTAAAATTTTACGCTGATCAAGAATATATGTACTTTGTTGGGTCTAAAATTATTATTTCGATGAGTTACATACGGAATGACGAACTTAATATACCCTCCATACTATGTTTGGTGGAGGGTATGAAAATCTTTAAAATCTTTCCTACACTGTGTCCCGTCCCTTATGTATTCAATTTTCCTCATTATACACCAACATATGTATGTATGTGTATGTAAAAAACTGTTTTACATTTGCATAAGAAACGACGTTCTGATTTTTCACCAACAATTACTTCCTTTTATTTTCTGGGACAACAATGTCTGTCTGCCAGCCAGCCAGCCATTGAGCTAACCAGTCAACCAACCATCTTCCCAGCCACCCAACCTGCTTGCCTGTCCGTGTGTGAGGACAGTCAACAGCCATTACACAACGACATGTAGTATTATGGTGGTCTGTACTATTTCCCCTCCCTTCCTCCTCGTTTCATTCGCTGATATTGTTGGCGTTCAGTTCACTTTGCCTCAAGTGCCTGCTTCTGCTTAACGATCTGAAAACT